GAAGCGGCTGGGCACGATCCCACGAGGGGACGTGTTGGTGGAGAAACGAGAGTGCACCAGGGCAAAGTGACCCTCGTAGTCGGCGTTGACCAGGTCGTGGTAGTACTGGTAGACCTGGACGGGTGCCAGCTGACCCTTGTAGACAATGTTTCTTTGTTCGACAGGGAGCAGAGGTAGAACCAGTTGTGCAGGCCGATGGTATGGGTGGCACGCTTCCTCAGAATAAAGAGCTGGATCTCGAAGTGGCGGTCGTCAAACTTTTCGGGATCGGTCATTTCGGGCTCGACGCCAGTGCCGTAGGCAGAGGCAAGGACGACAAAGGGCTGGAGGATGATAGGCTCGCGGGACCTGGCAGCGGGACCGAGTAGGGTCGAGTCCACGGGAGGCCTTCGCCATCCCAGGACTCGCAGACCCAACGATTCGGCAATGTCTTCCAACTGCCTCTTGGACTCCTGAAGAGTCTCCTCGTCGGGCTTAAAGAACAGGTTTCCCACGGCGTACTGGCCCAGAGGAGGCAGCTTAATGTTCTCCTCGCGCTCAAAGTTCTTGATGAAGAACTTGTGAGGGATGGACGTCATGACGCCAGCGCCATCACCGTCTCGCACATCAGAACCCACAGCACCTCTGTGGGTCATGTTGCAGAGCAGGTTGCGCGCATCGCTGACAATCTTGTGGCTAGGCTTGCCCTTGATGTGGCTTGAGAGCGGTTAGTGAAGATTCAGGCACAGGCGGGATGCGAAGACAAGGGACGTACCAAGCAAAGCCTACACCGCAAGCATCTTTCTCAAGGTCTGGGTCATACAGACCTCTGTTGAACAAGGGTTAGCGACGGCGCCGAGTGGCGGGGACGGCAGACGCGACATACTGCTTCACCGGCAGAGCACCTGCCCAGGAGGTGTTGCCCTCCTCCTGGTACTCATAGGGAGTGTATTGCTCTTTTTCAGCGTCGAAAGAAGTTTGTTGGTCGTTGAAATCCTCAGGCAGGCCCATGCTAGGCGACAACCGTCGGCTCGTTATGGGAGTGGGATTCGGAATGAGAGAGCGTAGGAGGTATGGGATCGTCGAGAGGAGCAGAGCGAGCTGCACGTGCGGCGGATCTAGTAGACAGAATAATGCCGCGGTCAGTAGGAGGTCTCGTGGGTCAAGGTGCAATGCAATGTGTGAAATTGTGTATGAAAACCAGTGAAGACAAGATGAGATCCAGGCGAGACGAGGCGGAAGTGTTGGCTTTTCGTTTGTCGGCGGCGGGGTACGTTACGGGCCGGAAACGGACGAGGCAAGCCATTTAAGACTTTATGATGAGAGAGACACGGCCGTCCCTCTCCTCATTTGAGTTTGAAGTGGCTGACGACGTTCCGGCAGGCGGGTCAAGAACAAGAAGATGGCCATGGAGAAAGTCTTGAGAAGCTTGCATCTTGTATGGGGGCATGTGTGCGACAAGCACGCTTGCATTGGCAAGCGACCAGATTGTTTTCATGCCCGCATCACCACGAGTGCTTGCTCGGCAACGCATGATCAATGCCCGATGCCCACAGCTCACATTTCGACTCAAATCTTGTCTCATCGGGAGCAGATTCACAGCGATAATGAAACCGTAGCATGCAAATGCGGTGCGGCGCGCAGCAGAATGTTGTACTGTAGTGCGTTGGCTGCTATAGTGTCTAGCAGCCAGGCGTAGCGCCAAGTGGAGCGAGGGTGGGAGCAGCGCGCCAATGGCTGCACGCGGAATGACAAGCAGATGCAGCATGGATAGGCGAACAGGCCATCGTCGCCCGCCCCAGCCAGCAGCATCCACGCCTCCACACCGTGG